TGAGTGCTTGAAGGAGCAGGCCCCAAACACATGTAGATCAGGGACGCATAGAGTCTTTAATAGAAATTACCAAATCACCTGGAAAGAGGTTGTACTAAATGGCATCCCCACCACCAATACAAAACAGGGTAGACTTCCCCACATGCCCACCTCACTGGAATCCTGAATGGTTTCTTTTTATACTTTGATGATATGACAGGTGGAAATTCTTTCCTTGTCATTATATTTAATTTGATGTTCAGATAACTTAAAACATTCCCTAGTGTACAAAATGCTCTGATAATCATCATTGCATTATATTTTTATTGCAGAATGGTCCAGTTTGATATGTAGCCTAAAAATGATCAACAGGTACATGAGCCTGCACGTTCTACTATAGCTACTGCTGGCATTATGGTTCCAAGGTGTGTGTGTGTGTGGCTTCTGGGAGATCCTGATGGCAGTGTGTTTGCTTAGAAGATTAGCAACATCTCTCTGTAATACTAGTTGAATTCAGTATTAGAGAGGAGCTGGAATCTTTTAAATGACGCAAGAGCTGGACCAAAAGATGCTTCTGAGCAGGCTGTAATCCTGTCCCCGTGATGGAAAGCAAGTCTTTCTGTGACCTTACCTGCACAAGTCAGGGTGGATCCCTCCAGGACATAAGGTGTGGTAGTCGGCCTAAATCTGCTTCTGAACACTGAAGCTGAGTGCTCCCATCTTGCTGATATCAGTTGCAGAGACTGGAGAAGCTGCATCTTCTCAGACACCAAAACCACGGGTTCAGTCACCTGTGTGAGGAGCTCTGTGCTAGAAGATAAAATACATCTGTCCATCCATCCATCCATCCATCCATCCATCCATCCATCCATTCCCATAGCTAAGAGGCATTAAGGCCAAAGTCTATACCATCCCTCTGGTTAAGTTTTAGGCTTCCTCAGAATTAGGAACAAGGAAGTAAGGGAGTTGTGGTGAACTCTCTTTATAGACTAAGAAGAGATCACTCCTCCTTAATATTTCCATCCTAACAGAGCCTCTTACGATTAATAATTTTAAAACATAATTTAAAACACTGGACCCCTGTCTACATCCATAGTTACTATTCTCTTTACATATATTCTCCTATTGCAACCAAAATTCTGTGAAGAATTCTCAATACGCAACTCACATGCCTCTGCACCTCCCTTCACCTCAGTCCTCATTCCTCATCTAATGGTGCTTTGTTCCTGCACCCCTCCACTGAAATGAAAACCAAAAGCCACCTCTTTGATCCATATATAGATCAAGAGTGTTAAAATGAACATCTAAACGGAGACAAAGATTCCCCTCAACAACAAATTTCAATTGTTTCTGTATAGCAAAGATTACATTGCAATGCTATATTTACCTAAAAGCTAGAACTGTAAAATAGCTTCCATAGAGTCAGTCAGATAATGTGAAGGCTGTGCTACAGGAACCGTGCCATCAACTGAAGTACAAAATTTCCCCAACATATCCCATACTATTGCTTCAAATAAAAGGAATTTTGCAAATAGATTCACTGCATGTTGACAATATTTTTATGATCATTTCAAGAAATTGTTTATTGTTTTATTTCTTTCTGAAGGAATTACTAAGTATGCAATGTAATCACCTGAAACTAAAATGTTGTTTCAAAATTTGTCATGGTTAAATATATTGCCTAAAAGCATTGTCTTATTCTCTAATATGCCATAATTAGGTAATAAAATGGTGGTGAAATATAATAGGAGAGAGAGAGCAAACTCTTACAGTCTCCTGATTAGGTCAAAATTATTTTACTGTACCATACAAATCATAATGCTGGAATTCCTTTTGGAATGTTTCCATTCAGTAAACTATCTCAACTATATGATAAGCATACATGACTCCATACTGATATAAATAAGTGTTTAAATTGTAAAAGAAATGGGTCAGAGAAGACAAATTGTCACAATCAAATAATTCTAAACAATATATGTGGCTACCTGCAGTTTATGAGGTGAAGTTTAATTCTGTCCTCTACCTCCTAAGAACAGGGCTGACTTAGTGACTTACTGCTAAAGAAAAGAGTATAGGAATATAAAATAGTTGCCACACACTGGAAAAATTTGGCAAACAGTACCTTAACCAAGTGATGAAAGTTAACATCACCATTGATATCATATGGGTATCATGTAAACCCATATATGATGTGATAAAAAGGGCAATTCATCTCTGTAGTATTCCTTCTGAAAACCCATAACCCCATTCTAATAAAGAAAAAAACACCAAGTTAAGCCTCTACTCCTCATGACATCAGGCTTATGAAAATAGTCTGGCCATTTCTCAAATGGTTAACAGGGAGTTACCATATGACACAGCAATTCCATCCCGAGGTACACAGCCAAAAGAAATATGCCACATAAAAACTTGTACCTGAATGTACACAGGATCATCATTCAAAATAGCCAAAGAGTGGAAACCACCCAATTGCCCATCAATTGATACATGCATAAAATGTGGTATATTCAGCAATAAATATGAATAAAGTACTGATATATGCTGCAACACAGATTTTGAAAACATTATGTAAAGTGAAAGAAGCCATATGCAAAACACCAAATATTGTTTGATTTCATTTATATACAATGTCAAAAACAGGCAACTCCACAGAGAAACAAAGCATATCTGTGATTGCCTAGGGCTGGGGGTGGGCACAGGGATTAACTGCATTCAAGCAAGATGGGTAATCTTAGGGTGATGAAAACATCTAAAACTCAGTTATGAAGTTCTACCTACAGCAATCAGACAAGAGAATGAAATAAAGGGCATCCAAATTGGAAAACAAGAAGTCAAATTATCCTTGTTTGCAGATGACATGATCTTATATTTGGAAAAACCTAGACTCCATCAAAAAACGATTAGAACTCATAAACAAATTCAGTACAGTTGCAGGATACAAAATCAACCTACAAAAATCAGTATCATTTCTATATGGCAGCCAAAGTTAACAATCTAAAAAATAAATTAAAACCTAATCCCATTTACAATAGCCATAAATAAAATTAAATACACAGGAATTAACCAAAGAAGGGAAAGACCTCTATAATGAAAACTATAAAACACTGATGACAGAAATTGAAGATGACACCAGAAAATGGAAAAGTATTTCATGTTCATTGATTGGAAGAATCAATATTGTTAAAATGTCCATTCTACTCAAAGCAATTACAGATTTGATGTTATCCCTGTCAAAATACCAATGACATTCATCACAGAAACAGAAAAGGCAATCCTAAAATTCATGTAGAATCACAAAAGACCCAGAATAGCCAAAGCTATCCTAAGCAAAAAGAACAAAACTGGAAAAATCAATACTGATTTCAAATTATACTACAGAACTATATCACCAAAACAGCATGGTACTGGCATAAAAATAGACACATAGACCAATGGAACAGAATATTGAACCCAAAAACAAATCCACACACCTACAGTGAACTGACTTTCAACAAAGGTGCCAAGAACCTACATTGGGGAAAAGATAGTCTCTTCAATAAGTGGTGCTGGGAAAGCTGGAAATCCACATGCAGCAGAATGAAAATAGACCCCCTATTTCTTGCCATATTACAAAAATTAAATCAATATTAATTAAAGGCTTAAATCTAAGACCTCAAACTATGAAACTACAAGACTTTGAGGAAACTCTCCAGGAGACTGGTCTGGACAAAGATTTTTAGAGCCATCAAATAGAATGTGATTCAGTCATTTGCATAAACATGGATGGTACTGGAAGGCATTATGTTAAGTAAAATAAGCCAGGCACAGAAAGACAAACATTGCATGTTCTCACTTATTTGTGGGATTTAAAAATCACAACTGAACTCATGGAGATGGAGAATAGAAGGATGGTTGCTAGAAGCTGGGAAGGGTTGTGGCGGCCTGGAGGGAAGATGGGGATGGTTAATGAGTACAAAACAATTAGAAAGAATGAATAAGACCTAGTACTTGGTAGCACAACAGGGGGACAATAGTCAATAAAAGTTTAAGTGTGCATTTCAAAATAACTAAGAGTATAATTGAATTGTTTGTAACACAAAGGATAAATGCTTGAGGGGATGGATACCTAATTTTTAATGATGTGATTTGCTGAGACCAGCTTGGTTGTGGAGACTCCAAACCAGGAAGTGCTGAAGGAATTAAGAAACAGACAGAGATAGAGAGCAAAAAGGTATGGGACAGACAGGGGGCCTCAGCATTCCCAGCTGAGAGCCTCAAACAGACTGATCCACATGTTTATTGACAGCAAGCAAGTAATAATCATCATTTAACCAAAAGCATTCTTCGCAGGGATCAAAGCATTCTTTACTAGTGGCAAGAACAGGCTCTGGCAGGCTTATCTACTGCAGCTGGAACATGTTGTTAAGGCAAGTGTCACTCATGCTATTGTGTATGGTTCTTCCGCCCTTGCTGGTTAGGTCAGGAGGATGTCACAGTGCTATAGATATTCTGTTTATGGCCAGTTTCTTTAAGGCCTGTTTATGCCAGAGCTTAGGGCCTGCTCTCAAATGCTCCCAACAGTGATTATTACACATTGCCTACCTGTACCAAAATATCTCATGTATCCCCCAAAATACATATGCCTATTATGTACCCACGAAAATTAAAAATAAAAAAATTTTAAAACCCTCAATTATGAAGATCATTGCCCAACTCTATACATTTACTAAAAATCAAAAAATTCTATCTTCAAATGTGTGCATTTTATTTCCCATATACTACAAAAAAGCTGTTAAAAATATGATATTGCCCTGTTCTTCTGTTGTACCATAGTAGTGACCAAACTTTATCATACACATGCCGTTATGTACATGTTTTATATAAACGTGAATATATGTAAAATGGTAGCTAGCTGTATCGCAGTCCTGCTGACTCTTTGTCATGTGTTCCTCCAAGCATTTTCCCCTCCTAACACCAGCCCATATGTTACTTTGGGTTTTACTTTTGTGTAAAATTTGATTTTTATCTGATCATTTCCACATGTTCCAACTGCGGCAGCGGCTGGAGAGTGGGTCCACAACAAAGTATACGGCATTAAGTACTACTACTTTCTTTGGTCCCCTGTGTGTTTTCTTGCATGACTTCACTTACGGAGTCTAAATAGCCTACCTTTATGGGTTGTCGGAGTGGCAATATTTATCAAAAAGCTACATAGGCACACACCGTTTGCACCAGCAATTTCCCTTGCACAAGTTTATCTTCAGAATGTAGAGAAGGATGTGGATAAGGATATGGTAATAAGAACTGCCATTGTGATAATTCCCTTCCTTTACTTCTGGGCCTTGTGAACCCTGAAAGAACCAGTCCCTCAGGATGAATCCTGGGTGTTTAACTGGGCCTAAATTCAAATTAGAGCCAAGTGGCTATTTGCTGACTAGAGGTCATACATGACTTGGAGTACCCAGAAAACCTGCAAGTCTGCTTAACTTTGGGATTTTCATAGCTGCCTATTCCTGTTTATGCTGCTTGAACCAAACAATAAGCTTTCACCTATGTCAACCATTCGGAACAAAGCAAGTTGGAATCCTTCATTTGCATAAGTTGACCTGAGTGGAAACCTGGGTGGGAACTTTATTCATAAAAGACAAACCTTCCCTTTGTCCTCTGGAACACACCCTCATTTTATACTGAAGGCTACGTCTCCCTGATTTGCAAACTATTCACTGGAATAAAGTCTCTTTCCTCTAAATTCCTTTTCAGAGAACTTTTGTTCTTAACCTGAATTTAGGAAGGGAGACCAAATGAGACGCAAAGCCATGAAGGAAAAGAAGGAAGCAGAGGAAAATGTGGTTGTCAGCACACACGCAATCACACACACAATCACACGCACACACATTTGTACGTAGACCAGGTTCTTTTTTTTATCACAATACTAGTATGCTTCTATGACAGTTTGGTGGGTTCCAAGAGGACATAGTCAGCTCACCAGTGCAAACAGCCACAGGAACTGTGCCCTTCAGCAGGGGACAGACTTTGAAAAGATGCCATCAACACAATGTTGACAATAGGGAATATCAGAACACTCTGAATAACATGGAGTTCTGAAAATTATGTTAAACCCACAGGAAGAAATTCTAGGTAGGCAATAAAATGAGTTATAATGAAGACAATGACAAGAGAGAATTTTTTGCCTATCAGATTAGCTACCATGCCCATTTTTCCAATGTGTGTAGAAACAGGCACTATCATACTGTGATGTTAGTGTTACTGAACAATGGGCTTGCTCACCAATGCACACGGAAGCCAATACTATGGCACTAGCTTTTGAGGAAAGAAAAAGCTTTATTGCAGGTCAACCAGCAGGAGATAGGACCAGCAACACCCAAATCTGTTTCCTCAAGCTGGGGTCTGGAGGCAGAGAGTAACTATGAGGGAGATAGGGAAATGCAATGAGGCATGATCTGATTGGGTCATGCAAAGAAGTGCTGAGTCCTTGGCTTTTTAGTTTGTACTAGAAAAAAGACAGGGCACCTCTCACTTCTTATTTTGGTCCTCATTCCTTAGTCTGACTACTTAGGTTCCACATGTGGTTGACATTTTCTGTTCTGGCCAGCTCCAGGTTCATCAGTCAGGCATACTTGGTTCATTTGGGCATGCTCAGGTTACATGACTTGCAACCTAGGGATCCATTGCAACTAAAAAACATCTCATCATTTTGTTACAAAGTCGAAGCATATTGAACTAGTTCTATGGTTACATTAGGAATAGAAATTAGTAGTAGTATTTTGAACCATCATGTTAATATAAAATGTTCTAATTTCCGGGGCTGTGAAAGGACTCTTCAGGAACTTATAAAGAAATGCTTTATAAGATATTTGCATATATAAAAGCTGGGTGTTAAATATACTATTGTCTGTAATAGAAACTATATTAAAAGGAATTAAATTTTCACCACTAGAGTAATGGGAAAATAAAGTTTAGAGCATAATATGATGAAACACCAACTCCATACAAAAAGTTGAAATTGAATTTGAAAGATGGTCATAGTAAGGACAAACACAGTTACAAAAGTCATAAGTAGTATGGCCGGGTGCAGTGGCTTATGTTTGTAATCCCAGACTTTGGAAGACCGAGGTAGGCGGGTCCCTTGAGCTCAGGAGTTTGAGACCAGCTTGGGTAACATGGTGAAATCCCATCTCTACAAAAAAATACACAAATTAGTCAGGGGTGGTAGCTAACACCTGTATTTCCAGCTACTTGGGAGGCTGTGGCTGGAGGATCGCTGGAGCCCGGGAGGCAGAGGTTGCAGTGACCTGTGATTGCACCATGCACTCCAGCCTGGGCAACAAGAGAAAAACCCCACAAATGTCATAATAGTTCTGTATCTATTTTCGCTAGTATTAGGTCTATTGCTACATATCCATAGGTCTGAAAGCATAAAAATAAAAATCATTTTTTTATTCCTCTCAAGTACACCTCTCTCTTTAGCATAGTAAAAGGCTAGCCTTTGTGTTTGGCCATCAGTATCCCTGAACACTAGATATATCTCTCTTTCCACGCAGACTCATAGAAAGCTCTGTGGGGTGGGCTTGGGCCACAGCCCCTTCCTCCCACTTTCCTGCTCCCGGATGTTCAAGCTGCAGTTTAGGCTTCTGTCGCGAGGGGGCACCAACGTATCATCAATATCAGACTGCAAAGCAATATATACATTGAGCAAAAAGAAATACGATACCTCCCTTAAAACACAGCTTGCGAACCTATGTACAGAATTATTCTGTCTGAAAAAAACTGAAAGATGCAAAAGAAGACTAAATACATATACTCTGGGGCATCTATACGATGAAACACCAAGCAGCTCTAGCACACATTGCTAGTCACTGGCCGGCACAGGACAGCACAGGGGCAGGCGTAAGGTGACTGAGAGATGATGAGAAAGGTGGAAGTGAGTCTGGGCAGCTGTGTCCACAGTGTCCCAGAGAGCGGATGACTGAGAGTGGGTAGGAGAGGGTCTGGGAAGCCTGTACAGGAGCGGGGTAATGGAGAGCGAACTCCCTGCTTTCTGGGAGGGAGGGACCCCTCTAAAGTGTGGACACCTCCACCTACCCCGAGGAGGGAAAAGATAAATCAGTGAATGCGATGTAGATTTTTGGGTCACCATAATACAA